CGGTGCTTATACACCGTAAAAAAAGATTTTTATCAGCCGTACAAATAATTTTTGCCATCAGAAGACTTTCATTTTTCGGTCTGATGGTTCTACAAAGAGCAACAATGAATATTTCTAACTATTTTTTATCTACAAATATACTAGAGAGAGTGGAAAATATTTTGGCGTAAACCGCTTGTCAAAAGCTTTTTTCGTTATCGAATTATAATTAAAACAAGATCGTACAAATAATTTTTGTCGACATTGTATGTGGAAAAATGAGAGAAATCGTTTGAACTATTGTGAAAAAAAATGTTAAATATTTTAAGCATAGAAAACGTCTACACTAATTTAAGCAATCATTTATAAATCAGTAGTTGTATATCAAACTATAACTGTTTTACATGGTTTCTTTTAGCCATTGCTCCTAGTCGAAAATTAAATGGTCGAGCAAGAGCATTATGCCCGATACCAGATATTCCAGATGAAGTTTTTTACAAAGAGTTGTGTTTTACAAAACATGAAGAAGAAATTATTGGTAAGTAGAAATGAAATTTTTACATGAATAATAGACACTGGTTTTTGTTTGTTTTTTCTTTACTAAAAATATTTCTTTTTTCTTTCGATGTAAATCACATCAAATTTACTGTTATTGATTCGATTGAAATGAAGACAATTTTAGTTGAAAAAACGCGATGACTTTTTTCACAAATTTTGCGTTCGGTTTAATTCATTAATATCGAAACTAGAAATTTTGTGAAGAAATATGTGTCGTCCTATTATGGTATGGAAAAAATTTATTCTTCATCAACATGCGCCTAAGTTCATTGAATATCGATCATGTGTCAGTTCAATTTACGAGGATAAGTTAACAATTTCAGAATATGAGAATCTTATCTAGATAAGATTGTTTGTCGAAATAATTTTATAAAAAAGTGATGACATCATGATATTGAGACAATTTTAATATGATGATTTTTACTTAAAATTTAGCTTTTTAAGGAAGCATTTCTGAAACACGTAGTCGATTATGAAGTTTTATAAAAAAAAATATCATCAAAATATGGTTAATCAGAAGTTGTTATTTTCAACTATCAACACACAGTGGGCATTCAGGCGGATATTTGAGCAAAAATTGACAAGCGAGCTTTTTTAAATTCGAACAGTAGTAAATGTAGTCCTTGAAAAGCGCTATCGAATGGTATATAATGATCGACTAGTAATGAACTCCTTCGATGAGTAAGTTAACTTACGAATTCACAAAAAACACCGTGAAATATGACACATCTGCAAAAATTCTGATTTCTATGTACAGACGTGCAATATTACCCTATCCAAAGCACATATTCGGAATCAGCACAACCTATTGCATCTCCTGATAATAGAAGGTACTCCTTTTGCATCTTGAACGAAACGAAAAAAGGTCTAGAAGTCTAGATT